TCTTGAATCGGGTGCAACCGCAACAAACAAAAAAACATGAACAAGAAAACATCTTAAAGTGATTATGTGACTGTGCAAACAGAAAATCCAGGGGGAAAAAAAAACATCAAAAATATTCCTGAAATAGCAGGTCTGTGGGTAATGGACCGTACAGGTAAACCACTGCAAGTCTGCAAAACGAGACCAACTCTCACTGCTGAAGCCGTCTCGTCGGGGCCATCAGCAGGGACCACATCTACGTCGTGCAAGGAGCAAGAGCCGCGCGGGCTGGCGGCGGACAGGCCGCAACGCTCCACCAACCCCCCACCCCCACCGGCGTCACCTTCGAGAGGCTCTCGAGGCCGCCCAGCGTGGCGAGCATCGCGTCCGGGTTGCTCACGACGCCCGGGTACTCGACGCACACGAAGGCCGAGCCCTGCTCGAAGCGCCTCGATCCCGCGGCGGGCCACTCCGACTCCGCCATCCCGGAACGCAAAAGCGCTCCTGTGGCTCGCCACGTGGGTGTTGCACTCACCGGCGTCCGGGCGGAAACCAATCGCAGAAAGGGGCGGTGGGGGGAGCGTTTGTTGTGTTTTGTTTTGGGTTCCGGCCTGCCCCCACCCAGTCTGTGAGTATAGCGAAAGTAATGAATTGCTAAATGTGACTTTGAAATTGTTTAATTACGTTAAATTTTATTTAACAAAGCGGGGGTTGCCGTCTGTGTGTGCGTGCATTTTACAACACTCACCACCTACAACCGCACCAACCCCGCTGTACAACATTGTTTAATACATTGTACACTACAACATTGTACAATACAACTTTGTATGCTACATTGTACACTACAACAATGTACACTACATTGTACACTACAATATTGTACAATACATTACACTGTACAATACAACATCTTATAATACATCGTACAATACAACATTGTATAATAGATTGTACACTGCAATATTGTAAAATAGATTCATTGTAGAATACATCATTGTAAAATAGATTTTACACTACAACATTGTATAATACATTACATTGTACAATACAACATTGTATAATAACGCCACTTCAGTAAAGCCTTGTGTGACTTGGAACTTTCAACTTACATTTGTGTGAAAGAAAGTGCTGTTTTAAATGCGATTTTAATTGTGTAATGCATAATGTGACCTTCGATTGCTGGCTATATTTGCATTTTACACAGTTCGGGTGCTTTACTGTTTTATTATGCATCAGTAGTGTATTGGTGATGTTTATGATTTTTTAAAATAAATCTTCCTGCAACCCCTGGTAGACCGCACCTCCCCATGTGACCTGCTCGCCGCTCTGAGCTCAATTACCCGAAATAAAACTGAATGACTGCAGTGCCAATAACTGGATTTGTAAACCAGCGCCAGCTGCGAATGAGATACTGAGCGTGAACACGAGAGGGCAGTGCTTGGCAGTGATGTGTAATGTTAAGCAGTAAAAGATGCAGTCACACCAAGACAGTCGTCAGTGATTAAGGAGTGTGTCATGGTTTGGCTCATTGTGAATTTTACACAGGCATTCATACTGGACACAACTCGAATACTGTTAAGTGAAAACACGTGTGGAGCCTAGTACCTAAAAGTTACGTTGCAATGTTATACATTTTATATAATCATGCATATGTATCCGTAGCTTTATCACATTTTTTTTACATCATCTATCCACTGCTGGGATGAAGGGCTTCCAAAGCTACGTCGGTTATGAGAGGTTGTTTGACCATACTTCACCGCAAATCGCCACTGCGGGATGTTGCAAGGGGCGCCCCAAGCCAGCTTCAGATATCACTCGCCACTGATGTCAGCCGGGGTCAGGATCTGAACTCATGTTGCCGCAGTCGAAGCGCAGTGCGTTACCCACTGCGCCCCATCAGTTGCCCAAGTGAAAACGTGCGCGTGAATAATTAAACGTCCCAGCCACTTTCACATTGTCATCACACAACCAGTCGTGCTCAGTAAAACCGATCAATAATCCCTTCGTAGTCCATAAACCAGAGCATACTTTTCTTCCCCATAAATTAGCAAATCTTTAATAGTATCGTTGTATTTTTTTAATGCGCATGCCTGGTGAGAAATCCTTCCCCACACTTCCCGTGTTTGGCTTGCAGTTAATATTTGAAGCAATTGACGGGATCCCGGGGTCCCATCACTGTCGATGGCTCTCTGTCTGAGTCTATGGGTCTCTGTATGGATGTGTCTCTGTGCGAGTCTATGGAAATGTGTCGATGGGTCTCTGTGTGAGTCTATGGGTCTCTGTGTGGATGTGTCTCTGTGCGAGTCTATGGAAATGTGTCTATGGGTCTCTGTGTGAGTCTATGGGTCTCTGTGTGGATGTGTCTCTGTGCGAGTCTATGGAAATGTGTCGATGGATCTCTGTGTGAGTCTATGGGTCTCTGTGTGGATGTGTCTCTGTGCGAGTCTATGGAAATGTGTCGATGGGTCTCTGTGTGGATGTGTCTCTGTGCGAGTCTATGGAAATGTGTCTATGGGTCTCTGTGTGAGTCTATGGGTCTCTGTGTGGATGTGTCTCTGTGCGAGTCTATGGAAATGTGTCGATGGGTCTCTGTGTGAGTCTATGGGTCTCTGTGTGGATGTGTCTCTGTGCGAGTCTATGGACTTCACTGTGAGTCTATGGGTCTCTGTGTGGATGTGTCTCTGTGCGAGTCTATGGACTTCACTGTGAGTCTATGGGTCTCAGCGGGAGTCTATGGTCTCTGTGTAAGTCTGTAGGTCTGTGTGACTGTCACAATCTAATCTAATGTCAGATTGTGGGAGACGGTCAGATCTTGGTAGTCGCTGCGGTCTCCTGTGCAGCAGCAGTTGTGTCATCTGCCGGACGGAAGTGAGGAAGTGCAGTGAAGAGATAAGAACATCCTGTCGCACAAACAACATTGATGTTGGAATTGCGAAAATGTGTCACTTGGCAATGCAAAAGGTGTGTTTTAGATTTATGCACGCAAAATAATGCCGTGGTTTTTGTTATTCATAATTTGTTTAAGTGATAATATTATAATAATATACACTGCCACATCCTGGCATTATAATCTTGCTTTTTTTTCCAGATTCAATCAATTTTAGGTAAAGCGTTAAGCCCCTCGTGCTGTTACTATCACAAATATGAAGTGCTCTGTTTTTGTCCGGCATGGGAAACGCAGATTCAAATAAGAATTGCTTCACCGTATCTGAAAGAGGCTAGACCTGCCGATTTTCGAGGTGACCATCGGATGGCAGTACAGCAATAGATGGCGGAGTTTTGAGGATTCTCCGGATTCCATCCGCATGCGTGTGAAGCCAAACTCGATGCAATTGACTAAACATGCCAATGTAGCAATGGACATCCTGCAAACCGAGTTTTGGGACTCAGCCGCACTTTGGAATTTGGGGGTGTTCTGGTCATTGGTTAAATGATTACGCCGCGGATCAAGGCCGTAAAAAAAAATCACTATCACATGGGATGGACTTTTTATTTATTTTTAACAATAATGTCTAATAGTGTATTGTATTACATTGCTCTGTTTTTACTTTTTGTTTACCTTTTCTTGTTTAATTATATGTAATGGCAGAGATTAGGGATTAATAAAGTACAACCATAACCACAATCATATAAACATAAATCTATTTTATAGCAATATATTGGGGGGGATATCTTGAGCATATTTGAATATTGTAATTACGGCCTTGCCGCGGATCACTGACTGCTGTGACTCGGCACGAAGAAAACGATGATTCTTGTCCAAAATTGTGTGGATGACTCTTTGCCATATCTACACCCGCTGTGGGTGACTCTTTATTGTGGGTGACTGCCGTGGGTGACTCTTTACTATGGGTGACTGTTGTGGGTGACTGCTGTGGATCACTCATCGTTGTGGTTGACTCGTCGCTGTGGGTGACTCTTTGCTGTGGGTAACTGCTGTGGGTCACTCGTCGCTGTGGGTCACTCTTTACTATGGGTGACTGCCGTGGGTGACTGCTGTGGGTCACTCGTCGCTGTAGGTGACTCTTTACTATGGATGACTGCCGTGGGTGACTCTTTGCTGTGGGTGACTGCTGTGGGTCACTCGTCGCTGTGGGTGACTCTTTACTGTGGGTGACTGCCGTGGGTGACTGCTGTGGGTCACTCGTGGCTGTAGGTGACTCTTTACTGTGGGTGACTGCCGTGGGTGACTCTTTGCTGTGGGTGACTGTGCTGTGGGTGGATCTTTGCTTTGGGTGACTCTTTGCTGTGGGTGACTGATGTGGGTCACTCGTCGCTGTGGGTGACTCTTTACTGTGGGTGACTGCCGTGGGTGACTCTTTGCTGTGGGTGACTGCTGTGGGTCACTCGTCGCTGTAGGTGACTCTTTACTATGGGTGACTGCCGTGGGTGACTCTTTGCTGTGGGTGATTGTGCTGTGGGTGGATCTTTGCTTTGGGTGACTCTTTGCTGTGGGTGACTGCCGTGGGTCACTCGTCGCTGTAGGTGACTTTTTACTATGGATGACTGCCGTGGGTGACTCTTTGCTGTGGGTGACTGCTGTGGGTCACTCGTTGCTGTAGGTGACTCTTTACTGTGGGTTACTGCTGTGGGTGACTCTTTGCTGTGGATCACTCGCCGCTGTGGGTGCCTCGTCGCTGTGGGTGACTATTTGGACTCTTCGGCACATCTAAAAATGTTGGAGGTGACTAGACAAAGACAGACACCCAGGTGTCATGTGTTGACCGAGATGACCGACAGATGCACCAACTGTGCCCCCCAACTGTGTCAACTCGCTGCGTTGTAATCGCCCGGCGCTCCGCTCGTTGTTGTGAGCGTTGCTCCTCCGACTTCTGCCTACTAATGGAGGACGACTGCCTCGAAACCGCCCAGGAGCAGCGTCCTTTACGAGCCTCCTCCTCCTCCACAGAGGCCGATCTTGACACCGCTGAATCCTAGTGGGGGGCGGGGTAGGGTTAATGATTTGTGGAGGGGAGGGAATTTTTTGTCTCCCAGACGATGGCTATAAGTTCCGGGCTCTTTCCCCGTGGTATATAAAGCAGAACAATGCAAAGTGCGTGACGGCGCAGGGGGTGGAGTTGGATGGGGGTGGGATGCCCTTTACGACATTTTATGGTAACGGAAGCTCCGGTGCCTGGCCCCCGAAACGTCGACTCAGCGTGATTCATCTCCCAATCCTGGAAGTAACGAACGGAGGCTGCAACCCTGGAATATAAGGCGAGGAATTATTATCATCATACAACTTTCATCGACTCGGGTAAACGCCGTGTGTGTGTGCGTGCGAGACCTAGCGTTGTTGGGGAGCGGTAGTGTAGTGGTTAGCGCGCTGCGGTCAGAACGCGGCGACCCAAGTTCTGTTTCCCGCTCACGGCCAACACCGGTGACGATTATCTGGACCGGTCCTGGGCCTCCCCTAGGTCGACTCATCCTCAAATGAGTACCCTGTGCCGTGTGTAAACATCGCCACTGGGGAGACAAAGGCGGTCGGGCGTGGTGCTGGCCACCCACCCCCTCGTGTGCCGTGCCGGCCTTCATAGGTGCTCGCTAACAGCACTTGCCCCAACAGTTTGTTACAGGCTATACGGCGGGGGGCTTTGTCTTTGTGCCGTGCGAGACACCGTCGCAGTCCACTTTCAAACCTTGAACGCTGTTGAGGTTTTCAATGGGAATTGCTTTGCAGCGGAGCGCATTCCTGTGGACGGTTTTTACCGGCAAGCGTGGCAATGTGCAATCCTTCCTGTGGCAATGTGCAATCCTTCCTATGGCAATCCACTGGTGCATGAGGGCCTACCCGCACACCGTAAGGCTGGTGGGTGGGTGGGCGTGGGGGGAGTTGCTTGACCATACTTCACCACGCCGGTCAACGCGAGTCGGTGAAGTCTGATCGACGTTAAGCTAGTCGCACACGCGTTCGTCGTCGGCAGCGCTCAATCCACCGCTGGATTAAGGCCCCCGTTCGTCAGACTCGCAGCTGCACGCGAGGCGATGCTATCGCTCCATCTCCGCGGACTTCGTCCCACGCCTTTGGCTGCCGCTCCGGTGCTCGCCTCGACCGCCCATCCCCTTTTTATGATCGGGTTGTAATTATGCAATCACGCAACCTGGCACATACCGTGTCAACCCGTACGGTTTAACGCCGTATACGCCTTGCACAATGTCTATTTTGTTCGTGATGGGACTTTGTAGCATGAACGTTGGGCTTTATTAGGGTACAGGGGTGACCAATAAGGTCTGAATTTGTCTGTAATAAGGTAGGGGCATTGGTAAGGGGTTGACAGGTATGTAATAGTGTAGTGTGTCGTGTTATGTATAGTGTAATGTATAGTGTAGTGTATAGCAGTGTCGTGTAGTGTAGTGTATAGTAGCATACCTGTAAACCCATACGATTTATTCGTAATGTTGTACAGGGAAATTGAGTTTGCAGGTCCATACGGCGTACAGCCGTTTCAATACGGGTAACAAACATTGTTGTTGTATATTTGTGTTTCTCCCTTGTGATGGGACTTTGTAGGATGAACGTTGAGATTTATAAGGGCATGGGGTGATCACTAAGATATGAATTTGGTCTGTAATCAGGTCGGCGCTGATAAGAGGTCGATAGGTATGGTAATTATGTAATTTTAGTAATTAATCGGCGTACGTTTTCTCGTTTTCCCGCGCTTTGCAAACGTCGCCCACGAAAAATACGGATTATTTGTAACAAATCGGCGTCATGATCTTCTTTGGTTCTTTCGGTAAAGTCACGTAGAATGAGAATAAAATAAGAAATTAATAAAATAAAATAACACAATAAAATTCTCACGACGTTTCGGCCACAACACAAGTGACCTTCTTCAGGTGAAAGGAACAGACCTGTCGGGACGACAGAGCTTCAATGGCATTAATGTTTTAATTCATATTGTAGAAGCCACGTAGATAGATCAAATAATTAATAGCAATAATAACAATATCACTATTATTTTATCTGTCTACCTGGATTTTCCGAAAGACCCACAAATAATATGAATCCCTGCAGTCACGAAAGCTTCCAGTCGATATTTATATTGTAGAACTTTAGAACATAGTGCCGTGCATCAGCACATTGAACATCTTAACGCCTGCACTTTTGCCAGAAAGCGTGAAGTCCTCTTGTTTAATATCTATTATTATTATTCAATATACGTTGTGTCGTTGTCGTCAAATGGTCTTCATGGTTTACAAAATGTTCCTGGGGAGCTCCGTAAGGAATCGCCACCGACCCCGTCGAACGCCGCACGTGCGCGCTGCCGCTACCGTGCGTAGTGCCGCTGTGGATGACGGCGCTCATTGATGCCCTAGTTGTCCCCACGTTGCGGACGAGACCCACGTCTGTTTGAGCGGCAAGCCTCGAAGCGGGCGTTGTCCACCCCGTTCATGTGAATTCTATATGCACTATTCCTTGGGTCTTTCGGTAAAGTCACGTCGATCGGGTCAAAGAAAATAGTCCTCGATTTGTCTACGTAGCCCGAGTCCCTTTACCGTTGCAGGCACCCCGACATCGCATTCCCTTTTATAATCACAACGCTCAATGTACCACTTCGCCGTCCCGAAATTAGCCACTCACAAATTGAGCACGATTATCGTGATTGCTGAACTTAGTCTGTCGATGCGTTACACGTGCGTGTCGATCAAACATTCCGTGCGCCGTACAGGAAATTATCGGCTAGCCGCAACACAACGACTGTGCTTAAAATAACTTCACATTACCCGAGTCGCCTGAAGTGTAAGTATCCCGTGGGTCTCAATGGGTTTATCGCATGTCTTTGTTGAATAAAGGATTACCGAGGTGTATATACACCGACTGGCGTACTGGCTACCGCGCTGCGCTTGCAAATGCAGAGAGGATGCCCGGTCGCTCGAGCTCCCGGTACGGCAAGCTTTAACAACGGTGCGAGATTTATTCCACCCCCGCTGCTGCCACCACCACCAGTTCCTCCTCCGCAGTCCCACCGCTTCCGTTCACCCAGCTGTGTCAATGTGCAACAACCACAAACCGCGCGTGGTGGTAGTGGTGGTGGGACAACGCGTGGGTACGCTGCGCCTGCACCCCCCTTCCGGGCACTCGTGAGGATTGGGGAGAGTTGAATGGGAGGAGTTGAGGGGAGTGGAACATCGCCTCCCTCTTCCTACGCCTAAGTCGCCTCCTCCTCCGTCCCTCTCTCTTTCGTGCGTGTCGTTATTTGTTGGTGTACATCTTGTGTTGTGCAGGCGAGGCAAGGCCAACAGTCCCAGGTGTATAAATACCTCGACTCGCTCCCACGCGCGGGGTCTTGGGCGAGGGTACAGACCAGCAGGGCTTGCGGTAGCAGCGGCGTCTACTCAAGGTTTCTACTCTCTCGGCGATCCTCGCAACGCACCTGGAGCAGCTAACTCGGCCGGGTCCCACACATCGCCAAGTCATGTCAGGTGAGCCCAAGGCTGCTCCGCGGGCTCCTTCGCTCACTCACTCACCTGCTCACACACAGCTGCCTACAGACTCACACTCACTCACCTGCTCACACACCTGCCTTGCAGATTTACACTCACTCACCTGCTCACACACACCTGCCTACAGACTTACACTCACTCACCTACTCACACACACCTACCTACAGACTTACACTCACTCACCTGCTCTCACACACTAGCCTTGCAGACTTACACTCACTCACCTGCTCACACACCTGCCTACAGACTTACACTCACTCACCTGCTCACACACCTGCCTACAGACTTACACTCACTCACCTGCTCACACACACCTGCCTTCCAGACTTACACTCACTCACCTGCTCACACACCTGCCTTGCAGACTTACACTCACTCACCTGCTCACACACACCTGCCTACAGACTTACACTCACTCACCTACTCACACACACCTACCTACAGACTTACACTCACTCACCTGCTCTCACACACTTGCCTTGCAGACTTACACTCACTCACCTGCTCACACACCTGCCTACAGACTTACACTCACTCACCTGCTCACACACCTGCCTACAGACTTACACTCACTCACCTGCTCACACACACCTGCCTTCCAGACTTACACTCACTCACATGCTCACACACCTGCCTTGCAGACTTACACTCACTCACCTGCTCACACACCTGCCTTGCAGACTTACACTCACTCACCTGCTCACACACCTGCCTACAGACTTACACTCACTCACCTACTCACACACACCTACCTACAGACTTACACTCACTCACCTGCTCACCCACCTGCCTTGCAGACTTACACTCACCTGCTCACACACCTGCCTACAGACTTACACTCACTCACCTACTCACACACCTGCCTTGCAGACTTACACTCACTCACCTGCTCACACACCTGCCTTGCAGACTTACACTCACTCACCTGCTCACACACCTGCGTTGCAGACTTACACTCACTCACCTGCTCACACACCTACCTACAGACTTACTCACCTGTGCGCACACCTACCGATAGACTTGCACTCACTCACCTGCTCACACACCTACCTACAGATACCTGCTCACACACCTACCTACAGACACTTACATACACCTATTCACTCACCTGCTCACACACCTACCTGCTCACTTACCGCAGACTCACAAACTCATACACTCACAGACTCGCAAACTTATCGACACACCCAGCTACCAACCAATCCACTCACAGACTCGCACACCCACTCACCTGCTCGCCTACTCACACACCTACTCACACACCTACTCACACACCCACTCACCTGCTCACCTACTCACACACCTACTCACACACCCACTCACCTGCTCACCTACTCGCACGCATCTACCTGCCGTCGGGTTCCTTTCACTTCGCGGTTGTCTCCTCTGGCACCAATGGATAATTACAGACGAGCCACACAGCGCCCACTGCTGCTGCTTTCACCAAACTCAACTGCATCGACCACAGAGCAACGCCACCTGTCCTCACTTAAGGCTATGTGGGGGTTCTCTGTGAGTCTTTGGGGTTCCGTGTGAGTCTGTGGGGGTCTCTGTGACTCTACGGGTTCTGTGTGAATCTGTGGGATTCTGTGTGAGTCTGTGGGGTTCTGTGTGAGTCTGTGAGGGTCTCTGTGACTCTACGGGGTTCTGTGTGAGTCTGTGGGATTCTGTGTGAGTCTGTGGGGTTCTGTGTGAGTCTGTGGGGGTCTCTGTGACTCTACGGAGTTCTGTGTGAATCTGTGGGATTCTGTGTGAGTCTGTGGGGGTCTCTGTGACTCTACGGGGTTCTGTGCGAGTCTGTGAGATTTTGTGTGAACCTGTGTGATTCCGTGTGAGTCCCTGGGGTTCCGTGTGAGTCTATGGATCGCAGTGCTAGTCTGCTGATTTCTGCGTGAATCTATTGGCGTATGTATGAGTATGGGGTTCTGTGCGAGACTGTTTCTGTCTTTGTGCGAGTGTGTGGCTTTCTGTACGAGTCTAAGGGGCTCTGTGCGAGTGTATCGATGTCTCCGTGTCACTATGCATTGCTGTATGAATCTATGAATCCCCAGCCCGCGTTGGACACAAACTGTGATGCTCGACGCAGAGTAGCCGCGCATGCTGCCTTGCTGGCCAAAGCGTTTCCATGGTGTAGATCAGCGGTTCTTAACCTGGGGTGCGAGACATGGGCACATTTTTTTTTTGTTTTAGAATGTAAATCGTCGAAACCGCAAATTAAGCATGGGCTCGTTAAGTACAACTTGCTTCGTTTCATCAAACCCTACGTAGTTATTAACATTATACTTTTTTTACGATTGAGAACCAAAGGGGGATGCCAGGCTGCAGTAAAAGTTAAGAACCACTGGTCTAGATGAATGCACGAGGTGTGATCTGTTGAAATGGATATACAGTATTCTGTGGATTTCCAGTTTATATAATGATCTACTATATTATATTAAATATTTTGGTGGGTTTTCAAATACAAACGTCTTGTATTTATGGGCAAAAAAACACACTGAGGAGTATTTACATACACGGGGTGGGGAGTGGTGGCGCAGCGGTTAGCGCACTACACGGTGGACCCAGCGAGCTGAGATCGTCTCCCAGCTACGGCCAACATCAGTGGCGATGATATCTGAACAGGTCCTGACCCTCCCGTCCCCTTCACCAACGCACGCTGACCAGCGTGGTGAAGTATGGTCAAACAACAACCCGCGACTGACGGAGCGATGGGGAGGCCTTCGTGACGTAAATTAATTGTGCGGCTGGGGGTTGGTGGCTCAGTAGTGACATGCGCCTCGCAGCCAGAAGCTCTCCTGGGTTCGATTGCCCACCCTGGCTTCTGTCTGTGTAGAGTTTGTATGTTCTCTGCCCCTTGTCCTGCATGGGTTTCCTGCGGGTTCCCCGATTTCCTCCTAAAGCTAAACGTCCGCACGTGCAACTTAACCGGTATCGGCCAAACCACATCCCAATGCTGAAAACGTATGTAACTGCAAATCATTCCATTGGATTTACAAATGTCAATATCGCACCCAAGTGCAAACCTTTGGCAGGACCGCCCTGAAAAAGAGGCTTGAGACTCAGTGTGGCATTCCGGCATTCCTGGGTAAATAAGTTGAATCATAATAATAATATTATCAGAACTACTTTATGTATCATGGGAACAAATCGGTATGCGGTTGGCGGGGTGTGACATTGGGACACACAATGATGCTTTAGCTCGGGGCATGGGCTTCCTCAACGCTTATAGTACGAGCCACGCCTGTGCCACTGAGTCTCACACACAAAGACAAAGGCGCGCACACACGCACGCATTCGCTGACACCGCTGCTATCTCGATCCGTGCTGTGCCGCTGGCGGTTGGCACCCGTGAGTGGTTCTCACTCTCGGCACCTCACACGCTCGGCCGGCACCACCGTTGATGCTGCTGCTGCTGCCACGACTATGGCGACGATGATGCACAGGTTCTAAAATTAATACCACAAATAATGTTGTGCGTTCCGTATTCGCCGCCGGTCTCACAGGTGCGGGGGGCTAATCGCGAAGGATGGCGCTGTGTTTCACAGACAGGTTTGGTGCGCCAGTAGCGAGTGTAGTGTGGGATACACCGTTAATTGTAGTGCGTTAACGGAGCGGTGTTACTCTGTGTGATCCCAATTGTGCAATTTACGGATGATTTTTCGAACTTGGAAGCCAGACGGCACGTAGTTTTACGGTTAATACTCGCACCGCAGTAATAACCGGGGCGACCTGCCGGATTTGAGCCGAGTTACCACCGACACCGCACCACCGGCGCAAGGTTCCGGGCATAGAGTAAAGACCCCTTGGTGTTTACTTCAAAAGAGAACACCTCTGAGTGTTCCCACAACCAGGCACGGGCTCGGATATTTCTCTCCCGCCACCGATGTTAGCCGCGGCCGGGGATTCGAACTCGGGTTCACAAAAACGACGTCGGATCGCAGTGCATTGACGGTGGCGTTGCTGCTGAGAGGAGGAAGGGCAACGCTCCCGAGTCACCCAGGAAGAGCCACGTGTGCTGCTGTACGACGCAGTCGACGCGTGACGCTTCACAGCGGCTGCCCCTCTGTCGCTAGAGGATGCCTGGAGGCTGTAGCTGGCAGTTGGTGACCTGTAGAGAGTCAGTTGCGACTACTGCCGTACAGCTATTTAGAACCCAGGCTGTCTGTACACGGTGTGTGCGTGTGTGGACGTGATTGCCACAACATAACTACGAGCCATTGCCCATTATTCCACAGGTATGTGAGCTTGCCCGATCAGAGTCTGGTAGAGTGGTGGCAGTGGTAACACCAGTGCTTCACGGCATGGAGGGCCCGGGTTCGAATCCCGATTCGGGCATCTCTGTGTGTGGAGTTAGGTAATAACAAACAGTCAATGTTACCGGTATTGGCCCCAAACATCGCAATACTGCATATGCTGAAAACTTGGCGGGAATCTCCTGAAAACGAGTCTTGAGCATCAATGAAGCTTTCCTGAGTAAACAAGCATCGTAATAACAAAAACAACAACAACAACAACCCTCTCTCTGTACCCAGCTCACGTTTAAGCATGGAAATACCGAGCAGGCTGTTCCACACAATCGCCACGCTCCTTTTGCCAATCCACCGCTGGATCTACGTACGTTGAACTTCTTTCGCAGCACGCATAGCCGGCCGTGCCCATGACATACTTCGCCACGCTGGTGAGTGCGGGTCGGTGAGGAGGGGGTACACAGGACCGGTTCGGGTACCGCTCGCCACCGATGTTCACCGCTGGCCGGGCATTGTAGCTCGGCGCCCGGCTGAAAGGAAGCCCCGAGCGCCGTGCCGATGCAAGCACGGGCTCATTGTCCTCTTAACGTCTTCTCCTCCACAGAGAGGAGGAAGAGCCCCACGAGTCGCCCCCTCGCGCCGTGGCTCCTGCTGGCGCTGTGCGCGGTGCTGTGCGGCGCCGCCGCCGAAGGTAGGCCCCCGAGCGACGTCGCCCTCGCGTTTACCGTATGGCGCAGGTCCATCGGTCATTTGTTTCGCACTCCGCCGACACGATTTTGGGTCGTTCCGCACGGTGTTCCGCGCGTCGTTTGACTTCAGTAACTTGAGGAAGCCCCCCCCCCTCCCCCCCCCGGTACCTGCAGTGAAACGTCGGACATCATTGCAATAAACGCACAGTACAACCCCCGGTAATAACATCACGCAGAAAGCTGTATGAGCAGCGCGACTGGTGAAAAGCCCTGCGTAGTTGCGTCGATAGTGAAGAACCTCCCGGCACGTGGAGCGAAACGTCGAACAACGCGCGGGCCCTCACACGAGCGCTAAATCGTGCGCGGGAGCAGCATCGTGCCCGCTGCGGGGGGGGTTTCACCCCGATGACCCTTGGCGAGTGCGGACAATGGGCGGCCGTTCACGCGGACCTCGGCAAAACATCCCCTCTCGCTGGCCCTCCTGGGGTCTGGCTGCTCGCCCGGCCGTCGCACGCTCGGGCTCGGCACGGGCCTGGCAGGACGTCGCCCGTGCTCTGCGTGCGCGTGTTGTGTGCACGTGCGCGCGCACGTGCATGTGTGTGCACGTGCATGCGTGTGCACGTGCGCGCGTGTACTAGGACGACGGTGCGTTCCGTTTTGCGCGTCCGTCTAGCCACCATTGATCTCTTCCACAAACAGCTGGTTGACGCAGACTCGATGCCTTGTAGTGATAATGGGTTTGCGCCTATGTGCGAACATCTTAACGCCCCCTGTGCTCTTGGCGGAAATGGCGGTAGCAATAATAAGTGGAACACGTACATATTTGCTTCGGCCAAAAGCAGAATTGCGATTGAGTAAAACAAAACAAAAAAAGCTCCGATGCAGTTCTGGAAGCGTGGCGCGATTCTCCGTGGCGCCCAGGCACGGCACGTGGCCGTGGCGGGCCACGGCTGGAAACGCGAGCGCTCAATTTCACGCAACGGTCTGGCGGCGAAGGGGACGGCACGCAGGGCTGGGGGCGCGGCACGCAAGGAAACGGCGTGACGTCGCGTGGTGTCCCGTGGACAAAACCGAACAGAGCAGGCTCTTCAAAACGCCACATTGGGTTACGGCGGCAGTTTAAAAACAACGTCAAAGCCCCCACGCCGCGATGCTGCTTCATCCCCAGTCGGGGCAGGTGGTGCTGGCAAGTTAAACCTTCTTTTACGACGGCACAAATTACGGTGGGAAACGTATTAGTTTTTTTTATAAGCCATGCCGGTTAATAATGAGAAACTGGAAACTTGTTTTGAATGCACCGCACCCCATTCGCGGTGATAATTAAACTTTCTCTCGGGCACCGATTGTGGGCAAAAATCGGCAACCTTGCTTCACCCTGTTGAGCCTCGGGTCGCCACGCCTGGTTAATCCAGGATCATCCTTAAGGCAGCAGCACATTACAAATCACGGCTTTGGTTTGTTGCGTAATAACAATAATAACAATGTTAATAGCAACCTTGTGTATAACATAGACAAAGATCATCCCCCCTGTAGCCTTATACTTTTTGGGGCAAGTGCTGTTAGCGAGCACCTAATGAAGGGTTGTATGGCACATGGAGGGGTAGGTGGTCAACACCACGCCCCAGCCGCCTTTCTCTCCTGAGTGGGGATGTTTACACACTGCACCAGGCACTCATTGAAGGCTCAGTCAACCTAGGGGAGGCCCAGGACCGGTTCAGATAATTGTCACCAGTGTTGGCCGTCACACACACACACACACCTTGTGACTTTCGCTGAGCTATGGGCAACAGAATGAATAAACAGACCAATACGCCCCCTTCCCACCTTTGTTTTTCCTGCTTAAATAAACGTATTTTAGAGATCCCATCGGCCACACAACGCTATTCAGAAGTGCGTTTTCAGTAGCACGGGTCGAACACAAGCAAAACTGGGACGCTTATGGTCTCATTAGCATGGTGAGGCTCTCTTCAAACAATGCCAATGAACTGTCGGACGTCACTAGGCCGTTTCGTGTTAAAGGCAACAGGATACGCAAACTAAACGCGCCCCCTGACAGACAATACGTTGCCACAAACCATCGATGCATTCCAATCGTGGAACTGGATCCCTGGACCGCCATGGGGTGTGGACGCCTTGCCGTGGCACGCGCCAATGATTGCAGAGAATGTTTGGTTGACTGCGCGCTTTGCCTACTGCGTGGCAGGTCGCCGTGCACTTTCGGGGTCGTGCCGCGACCACGTCCGACGTTTCGCCCCACGTGCCGGCGAGATTCGAATTCGGTTCGTGAAGATGCTCCCGTAATACGCCGTTGTTATTTAGCCACCAAAATATATATATTTTTTATATGCATTTAATCCGTCTACCATAGAAAACATGAGCAGCCTTAGACGTGTACCGTCCGGCCTAAATGAAAGTGAAGTTTGATTTGTCCATCAGTTCCTGAGGAACCCAATCCACGTCCTGGCATAAACACACGGCGGGGATGTCATTTTGAAGTTTTGGCAACGCAGTGGTGAGCGCTCTGTGTTATGAACCCCAGCAACCCGAGTTCAATTCCTGCCCATGGCTGCCAATGAGACCCAAAAGGTCTAAACCGGCCCAGAGGTTGCTTGTTTAAATGTATACTGATGGATAACGTTGGTCTGAAATGCCAACTGCCCTTTGGTCTCAAGCATATTTGTATTATATTTGCTTTCAACCGAACACTTACAGTTCAAATCCCAGTTGGGGTTAGACCCAGCCCATCATGCCCCCAGGGGCCAATGAAATGAATTTCACTCTGTGAGAATGCCAAAAGTGGTTGTCCAACATGTAGACCAAATTCCGCACATGGGGCACATGAAATTTCCACCACCTCCTCCTTGTCACTCGTCTATCGCTACTATTACGGTTGTCGTTCGCGTGAAACTCACTTATTCATTGCTGAAGTGTATGTATGCATGTTGAACTTTTTTCGCGCCGTACGTGGCCAACCACGCTAATCGAAGGTGCGGTGTATGGTGGTGCCTGCGTGTGTGTGTATATGTGCATACGTGTTCCAGAATTGTGTGTGTGTGGGGAGCGGTGGCGCAGAGGTTAGCGCACTGCGTTACAAACTCGGAGACCCGAGTTCAACTCCTGCACACGACCAACACAAGTGACGAGTATCTGAACTGTTACTAGGCCTCTCCTAGGTCGACTCAGCATTAAACGAGTACCGGTTTGCAGCACGTAAACATCAGCACTGGCGAAACAGAGGTGGCCGGGCGTGGTGCTGGCCACCCACCCCCGATTGCCCCGTTCCAGCATTCATAGGTGCCCCAACAGTCTGTTAGCGCCGTGCCGGCCTTCATAGGTGCTACTCGCGAACAACACTTGCCCCAACAGTCCGTCGAGGCGACACGGATCTCTGCATTTTGTTGCAGGAGGAGAGACGACGAATCCCTGCTGTTCCTTCCCGTGCCGGAACAGGGGCGTCTGCACGGAGTACGAGCACGGACGCTACGAGTGCGACTGCACCTACACGGGATACCACGGCAAAAACTGCACCATACGTAAGCAAGCCGCGCCCGTCACGCCGCTCGTCGCCCCATCACCACCGCGCCCCGCTTTGCCCGGGGCATGCCCCGCCACCCCCATTCACTTAACCGGCAGGGAGCCTGGTCGGAATTTCTCACCCATTACGCACCTCGGTAGCCTTGCGTTTAAGCGCGGTTGACATTAAGTCGTCATAGAGGGGGGGGGGTCCCAATTTGAAATGAGTGACGTCAAAGTTCTGTGAGGCTCAAACAGGGACGCCGCACTGCTCAGCTGGCAGCTGCCCCCTCCATTAGCTCCGCCCACTTTTACATAAGCACGCCCACTGGGCCACGAGCTCTGTTTGTTCGACCACTAGCTCCACCCACTCGGCCTAGCTCCGCCCTGCCCTCTGCGCACATTTAAACTAAAACTGTTTTTTATTGTACCAGGTGAGACCCACTGAGCTATAATAGCTCTTTTTCAGTAGATACCTGGTTACAGCAAATGATTGCTCAGCGAAATGGCTTACAAATACTCTCAACGCATGCTTCTAAATGTGGAGGGAAAAACCAGAGGACCCGGAGAAAAAACTCAAGCGACTACGGGGAGAAAATACAACCTCCAAATATACAGCAGGTGTCAGGGTCAGGATCGAACCCACAACCTCCTGCATACCAAGCGAGACAGTTAAAATTTCGCCACTGCCAACAAACACGAAGCCAGAATGTATTACACCGGTAAGAAAATTAAACATTATTATGAACGTTACAGGGCATCTGGTGAGACATTACCAGGGCATCTGGTGAGACATTACCAGGGCATCTGGTGAGACATTCCTAGGGCATCTGGTGAGACATTACAGGGCATATGGTGAGACATTACCAGGGCATCTGGTGAGACGTTACAGGGCATCTGGTGAGACATTACCAGGGCATCTGGTGAGACATTACCAGGGCATCTGGTGAGACATTACAGGGCATCTGGTGAGACATTACCAGGGCATCTGGTGAGACATTACAGGGCATCTGGTGAGACATTACAGGGCATCTGGTGAGACGTTACAGGGCATCTGGTGAGATGTTACAGGGCATCTGGTGAGACATTACCAGGGCATCTGGTGAGACATTACCAGGGCATCTGGTGAGACATTACAGGGCATCTGGTGAGACATTACCAGGGCATCTGGTGAGACATTACCAGGGCATCTGGTGAGACATTACAGGGCATCTGGTGAGACATTACCAGGGCATCTGGTGAGACATTACAGGGCATCTGGTGAGACATTACAGGGCATTTGGTGAGATGTTTCAGGGCATCTGGTGAGACATTACCAGGGCATCTGGTGAGACATTACAGGCCATCTGGTGAGACATTACAGGGCATCTGGTGAGACATTACAGGGCATCTGGTGAGACATTACAGGGCATCTGGTGAGACATTACAGGCCATCTGGTGAGACATTACCAGGGCATCTGGTGAGACATTACAGGGCATCTGGTGAGACATTACCAGGGCATCTGGTGAGACATTACCAGGGCATCTGGTGAGATATTACAGGGCATCTGGTGAGATGTTACAGGACATCTAGTGAGATATTACCAGGGCATCTGGTGAGACATTACAGGCCATCTAGTGAGATATTACCAGAGCATCTGGTGAGACATTACAGGGCATCTGGTGAGACGTTACAGGGCATCTGGTGAGACATTACAGGGCATCTGGTGAGACATTACAGGGCATTTGGTGAGACATTACAGGGCATCTGGTGAGACGTTACAGGGCATCTGGTGAGACATTACAGGGCATCTGGTGAGACATTACCAGGGCATCTGGTGAGACATTACAGGGCATCTGGTGAGACATTACAGGGCATCTGGTGAGACATTACAGGGCATCTGGTGAGACATTATTAGGGCATCTGGTGAGACATTACAGGGCATCTGGTGAGACATTACAGGCCATCTGGTGAGACATTACAGGGCATCTGGTGAGACATTACAGGGCATCTGGTGAGACATTACCAGGTCATCTGATGAGACGTTACAGGGCATCTGGTGAGACGTTACAGGGCATCTGGTGAGACTTCCTAAAACCAACTGAGACTGTCACGGCCAAACCAGACCCTGGGTGAAATGTCTCAATCACATCCCCACCATTTGTGTTCCCCTGCTCGTACAGCGGAGCTGCGCACGGCCATCGTAAGGATGCTGAAGCCGAGCCCAGACACGGTGCACTGGATCCTCACCAACTTCCCCGCCGTCTGGGACGTCGTCAACAGCATCTCCTTCCTGCGCGACGCCATCATGCGCTACGTCCTTGTGTGTGCGTCTCGCCTCACATCCTACAACTTCCCACACAGCGGTGTTGGTGGTGGTGGTGGCGACGGTGGTGGTGGTGGTGGTGGTGGCGGCGATGGTGGTGGCGGTGACGGTGGTGATGGTGGCGATGATGGTGGTGATGATGGTGGTTGTGGTGGCGATGGTGGTGGTGGCGTTAGTGGTGGTCGTGATGTGAGCGAGCAAGTTGCAGGGTTGCGCATTTCCCTTACGCCTCACCTGAATGCGTCTACAAACTCGAACGCTTCCTACCATCGTTAGCGTTCACGCGGCTTTACACGTCTGTCCGCGTGTGTGTCTCTGTCAGCGCGCTCGGACCTGATCGACAGCCCACCAACCTACAACTCGGTGTACGGGTACAAGTCGTGGGAGGCGTACTCCAACCTGTCATACTTCACGAGGATCCTGCCGCCCGTGCCGCGGGACTGCCCCACCCCCCTGGGCGTCGCAGGTAGCCGACCGAGCATTGCCTTGTGGCGGATTGGTCTCGCTGTAATATTCTGACCCATATTCGTGACCCGCACAAATATTCTCGGTGTATTTTACGAGGTAAACTGAGGTAAATAGTGGCATTTTACGAGGTAAATCGTGAGGTGGAAATGGAAACGGAGGGTAGGCTTCTTCTTTGGTTCTTTCGGTAAAGTCACGTAGAATGAGAATAAAATAATAAATTGATAAAATAAAATAACACAATAATATTCTCACGACGTTTCGGCCACAACACAAGCGGCCTTCATCAGGTGAAGGGACGAGACTGTCTGGTAGGACAGCGCTGGAGTGAAAGAGCCACGTTCAGATCACGGCCTTTAAGCTGTGTGAGAGGAACAAAGTGCCTTGACAAAAGAATTGGCTTATAATTTAGCATTGAAATTGCTGAATGATTAGCTTGTGACTGGTCACAGAAATAGCTATGTTAAAAGTTAAAGCATACACATCCACAGAGGCACCCCTTGATAAAGGAATTAGCATAGAATTTAGCATTGAAATAGCTAAGTTAAAGCATACACATCCGCAGAGGCACCCCTTGACAATGGAATTAGCATAGAATTTAGCATTGAAATAGCTGAGTGATTAGCTTGTAACTGCTCACAGAAATATCTACGTTAAAGTCAGAGCATACACATTCACCGAGGCACTTAGTACAAATCAAACAGGAGAATTTAGCATTGAAATAACTAGGCGAATTTAGCATTGAAATAACTGAGTGATTAGCTAGTGACTGGTCACAGAAATGACTGTTGAAGTCAAGGCCTACACATCTGAGCTATTCACAGTACTATATAGTGAACCAATAAAAAAACTAAAATATAAATTACCTTAATGTTATCAATAAACTCTATATTCTCCAATCAGCTAAGCTACCAAAAATAAGTCGTTATATATCACAATGCTATATGGCGAAAAAATGGGTGGATTCTTACCCTCAACTTTAGCACCACGGAGAGCTACGGGCCCCGTTCAGACGGACGAGTTCATCCATGGTCGGAACAGAGGAGGGGGAGAGAGGGTAGGCTTTTCACGTTATATAATTAGTTGATTAATGGACCTGATAATCGATACTTCTTTTATCGAATACTCAAAATAATGCAATAGTTAAAATATGCGAGGGATTAAATCGGACAGGCGGCAACCCCAACGTCAGGGCGCCCGGTGGCAGTTGCACCGCCTGCACACTCGGGCGATGGCTACCGCTGTCGGCCTTTGCGGTTGAGCTCGCAGAACGATGGCAGAGACCGTGGCTGCACGCGGAAATGTCACGTGCGTAAATTGCAGAACGCTGACGGACATTGTTCAATCACCGCCATTGTGTGTGTGGTTTTTGTTGTCATTGCTGCTGTCGCCATGTGTGTGTGTGGGGAACGGTAGCTCAGCGGTCGGTGCGCTGTGCTACGAACCCGGCGACCCGAGTTCGATTCCCGCTCATGGCCAACACCAATGATGATTATTTGAACCGGTCTCGTGCCTCCCCTAGGTCGACTCAGCCTCAAATTAGTTTCCTTTTGCAATCTGTAAACATCGCCACTTCGGGAGACAAAGGTGGCTGGGCGTGGTGCTGGCCACCCACCCTCTTGTGTTCCATTCCGCCCTTCATAGGTGCTCGCTAACAGCACTTGCCTCAACAGCCTGTTAAGGCTATACGGGGGTTCTTTGTCTTTGTGTGTGAGAGTTGGTGGCATCCTTCCCCCAGCAACAATGGAGGGCAGAGGAGCGACGCTCACAACAACGGGTGGAGTGCCGAGCGGCTGAAACGCAGAGAGTTAGCACAGTTGGGGGGGGCGCAGTTGGTGCATCTGCCAGTCATTTCAGTCGGTCAACCCATGGCACCCCGGGGCTGTCCCATGACCTCCTGCCAGTGCCAGAGTCGGGCCGGCGTGCCGCGCACCACCAGAGCTCGGCGCACGCAGCGCCACGCAGCGCCACGCCCTGCCACCTTTGTCTCCCTGCTGCCCATGATGATGATAATGACGGTCGCCCGGTACTCGATGCGATACGAACCCGGCGTCCTGAGTTTGATTCCGGAACGCGGCCAGGCGTCAGTGGCGAGTGATATCTGAACCGGCCTTGGGCCCCCCCCGCCCCCGCCTTCCCCTTCACTAACCCGCGCTGACCAGCATGATGATGAAGTATGGTCAAACAACCCCCGCTGCCGTAATCCAGCAGTGGAGTGACAAAGAACTCTGGCCCACTGCTCTGTCTGACAAGTGCCTCCACCGTGTACATTTGAGAGAAACTTGCCGCTCGTTTCAACCGCCGGGAGGTTGAATGGAACCTCTGCGTTGCCGATGACAAATCCGACGACAATCTAGCACACCACACCGCGTTGGCGGTCGCTCTAAAACTAAACTATTTTATTTTACCGGGAAAAGCCCACGGAGCTGTGTAGCTCTTTTTCAGAAGCGATCTGGCTATCACAAATGATAGCCCAACGAAGTGGCTCGTCATCGTGTGTGGACATTTATTGCAGCCAAATACTCTGAAGGCACGATGTTGATTCTAAATGTGGAGGGCCTGGAGAAAAATCCACGTGACCACGGAGAAAGAGAGAGACACGCAAACTCCAAATATACAGCAGACGTCGGGGTTGGGATTGAACCCACGACCTCCTGTATACCAAGCCAGGTAGTTAACATCTCCTGCTACCGTGATGATTATGAGGGAAAGAGACACCGCAAACTGTAAATATACAGTAGGCGTTGGGGTCGGGATCGAACCCACGACTTCCTGTATACCAGGCGAGGTAGTTAACATCTCCTAGCCACCGTGATGATGAGAGATCGAGAGAGAGAGAGACACGCAGACTCCAAATATACAGGAGCAGGTGTCAGGGTCGGGATCGAACCCACGACCTCCTGTATACCAGGCGAGGTAGTTAACATTTTAAGGATGCTGAAGCCCCCGAAAGGGGGGCCCTTCGCGTCCGCTGGTTGCCGTGCGTGCGACTTCGTGCTTCACCTCCCACCGCTGTGCCGCTTTGCCACGCTCCTGTGTGTGTTGGTGGTGGTGTGGCGGTGTGGCAGTGGGGAGCGCTGGTGTAGCGGTTAGCGCGCTGAGCTACGAACCCAATGACCCGAGTCTGATTCCCGCTTACGGCCAACACCAGTGACGATGATCGTAAACGGGCATGGGCCTTCCCTAGGTCAACTCGGCCTCATATGAGTACCTGGTGCAGTATGTAAATATTGCCACCAGGTACTCAGACAAAGGCTGCCGGGTGTGGTGCCGGCCACCCACCCCCTCGTGTACCATGTCGGCTTTAACAGGTGCTCGCTACAATCTGTTAAGGCTACATGGGGGGATCTTTGTTGTCTTGGTGCGGCAGGCAAGCCCCAGCTACCCAGCGCCAAGCTCGTGGCCGAGCGGCTGCTGCTTCGCCGTCAGTTCAAGCCCAACCCGCACGGCTCCAACCTCATGTTCGCCTTCTTCGCACAGCACTTCACTCACCAGTTCTTCAACACGGACCCCGTGCGGGGCCCCGCCTTCACGCGCGCGCTCGGCCACGGGGTAAGCGGCACGTACGCGCATGCACACACGTACACACGCACGCACACACGCACAAAGATAAAGACAAAGATCCTCTTTATAGCCTTCATAGACTGTTGAGGCAAGTGCTGTCAGCGAGCACCTATTAATGGCCAGAACAGCACACGAGGAGGTGGGTGGCCAGCACCACGCCCGGCCGCCTTTGTCTCCCCAGTGGCGATGTTTTTACACACCGCGCCAGGTACTCATTTGAGGCCGAGTCGACCTAGGGGAGGCCCAGGACCGGTTCAGATAATCGTCACTGGTGTTGGCCATGAGCGGGAACCGAACTCGGGTTACCAGGTTCGTAGTGCAGCGTAGCGCTAACCGCTACACTACCAGCCACACGCATACACACGCACGCATGCACACATACAGAGGGTGTGGGGGCGTGGGACGAAGGCATTCCTAAAATGTCAAGCTTTTTAAATGATCTACATAGATCCATGGATATTGCTGCTTTTCTCCGCTCAATTCGTTATCGTTAGCCGTGATCTGTTCGCTTTGACGATGACGACGACGATGTTGTTGATTGACGGGGATGACGAGCGACGGGAGCGTGTGACGTGATGATTTCCAGGTCGACCTGAACCATATCTACGGAGGAACGCTTGAGAGACAACACCAGCTGCGGCTCTTCAAAGACGGGAAATTAAAATTCCAGGTTCGCACCCCCCTCTCCCCCTTGGCTGTTCCTCACCACGCTCGCTGCTCACCCTCACAAAGAAAGAAATATAAGGATTGGTTTTACCCTTTTCAGCAATAAAACATTTGTGTTAAGATGTTACAACACCAAACATAAATCTTATGCAAGGAATCATGTCTGCATTGACCACATATACTATCAGAACACGTGTGTTTTTTTTTGCGTGTTTGTGTTCACCACAAGTTTGTGTGGTTAATGCAGACATGGTTCCTTGCAAAAGGTTTTTGTTTGGTGTTGTAACATCTTAACACAAGCTGTTTTATTGCCGGAAAGGGTAAAGCTTATTCTTATATTTTGATACTGGCAAAGGAGGTCCCAGGGTAAGAGAATTGTTGTGACCTGGGGTGTGGTGGTGGTTGAACACAGGCTCGTGGTAGTGATTGCACACAGGGTGGTGGTGGTGATTCGGACGACACGGTGGTGGATGAGACGACACGGTGGTGGATGAGACGACACGGTCCGTGCCTGGTAGAGACCGAACCCTCAACACGGGCATCGCAATCAACCGAGCGGAGCTCACGGGGGGCACGGTAACCGTCGTAGTGGCGCGAGAAGAGAGCGGCGAGCGAGGGGGCGAACGGCCGATGACGCTCCGATGACGCCGTCCCCAGATGATCGACGGGGAGGCGTACCCGCCGGTGGTGCGCGACGCGCCGGTGCACATGGTGTACCCGGAGCACGTGCCGGCGTCGCTGCGCTTCGCCGTGGGCCACGAGGTGTACGGCCTGCTGCCGGGCCTCCTCGTCTACGCCACGGTGTGGCTGCGCGAGCACAACCGCGTGTGTGACGTCCTGCACGCTCGGCACCCGCGCTGGGACGACGAGCGACTCTTCCAGACCGCGCGCCTCATCCTCACCGGTGAGGGGCCGGCGGTAGCCGTGGCGGTGGCGGTTGGTGGTCGTGGTGCTGATGGTGGTAGTGGTCGTAGTGGTGGTGGCGGTGATGGTGGTGGTCGTGGTGGCGGTGATGGTGGTGGTCGTGGTGGCGGTGATGGTGGTGGTTGTAGTGGTGGTCGTGTTGGTGGCGGCGGTGGTGGTGGTGGTGGTCCTGGTGGTGGTAGTTGTGGTCGTGTTGGTGGTGGAGGTGGTGGTGGTGGTGGTGGGTGGTTGTGGTGGCGGTGCTGACGACGACGATGCCGGTTTGCAGGACTCTCCTGAAAAAACAATCACGTGACTCTCTCATGCCTTCCTGGGTAAACGAGCACAACAATAACCGTAACAACAACCACGACAACAACAAAGTACCGATACCCGCCGCGTGTGGCAAACGCCCCCCTCCCCGCGTGCGCGCAGGCGAGACGATGAAGATCGTGATCGAGGAGTACGTGCAGCACCTCAGCGGCTACAACTTCCACCTCAAGTTCGACCCCACGTTGCTGTTCGGCGTCAACTTCCAGTACAGCAACCGAATGTCGCTCGAGTTCAACCACCTCTACCACTGGCACCCGCTCATGCCGGACTCGCTGCTCATCGACGGGCGCAACTACAGCTACGACGAGTTCCTCTTCAACCCCGGGCTGCTCGCCGACAAGAAGCTCATGCCGCTTGTGCGGAGCTTCATGCGCCAGCGAGCCGGCACGGTGAGGAAGAGGGGGGGGGGGTGGGGGAATGGATCAAATAAATGCACGGTAAAACTTTTTCTGCGAGTGTTTTGCAAGACGAGCACAATTTTTTTTTATAAATATTAATTTGATAAACGAGTGAGGGTCTTGCAATGCGAGTAGTACGTATATGCTTTGTCTGCCGAGCGTCACGTGATCACAACTGATATACGAGTGCTTTGATATACGAGTGCTTTGGATTACGAACACGTTTCCGGAACGAATTATGCTTGCAATCCAAGGTTTTACTGTATGTATACGCGTGTGTGTGTGTGATGGGACCTCCCTTGCCAATATCCAAATATAAGAATAGGTTTTATTTCCAGAAAGGGTCAAATCTATTCTTATATTTGGATATTGGCAAGGGAGGTCCCATGGTGGAGCTGCTCACCATGAGCTCTCAATGTCCTGATAGTGGCATTGTCTTTGTGCTGTTCGCCTTTTGGCGTCCTCTGGCCTAACGCTGTTTGAGATGAGGCTCTAAAAAGAAAGCTGTCTCTGGTGTGGACCAATCAGTTTCAAAGACAATGCATCATAGACTACCAGAGCATGTGTTTTTGTTGTTTTCATGTTCACCACAATTATGTGTGGTTAATGTAGACATGATTCCTTGCGAAAGGTTTCAGTTTGGTGTTTTAATATCTTAGCACAACTGTTTAATTGCCAGAAAAGGTTTAACATATTCTTATATGCGTGTGTGTGGGGAGCGGTGGTGCAGTGGTTAGTGTGCTGCGCTACGAACCCGGCAGCCCCTGTTCGATTCCCGCTAACGGCCAACACCAGCAGCGATTATCAGAATCGATCCTGGGCCTCCCCTAGGTCGACTCAGCCCTGAAATTAGTACCTGGTGCGGTGGGTAAACATCGCCACTGGGGAGACGAAGGCGACAGGGCGTGGAGCTGGCCACCCACCCCCTCGTGCGCCGTACCGGCCTTCATAGGTGCTTGCTAACAGCACTTGCCCCAGCAATCTGTTAAGGCTATACGGGGGATCTTTGTCTTTGTTACATGTAAACAACCTGGAGTACATGTGAAACTGCACAGCTCTTTCCAATGTGTGTTTGAATTGGGGTGTTTGAGGGTTCGGGGTGCGGGGGGGGGCGTGGGCTGTTTGGCGAGGCCAGGGTGCGGTTTTCAGGCTTGAAGGCACGGTTGGGTCCATTCGCAGGAGGCCGGGGAGGAGAACCAGCCAAACAAACTTACACGCTTGCCCGTCACAGGATGATCGATGGCCCTGTTTGTTACGCTCACTTTTCCTTTCCCCGTGGCCACGGCCGCCCGGAATGCGCCTGGTCTCGTCAGAGCTCGGGAGCCAAGCAGGTGAGAGCCTGCGTAGGGCCTGAGATGGACGGGGCCTGCGCCGCGTGGCTAATGGGCGTTACAGCGCTGCGTGCGCTACAATGCGCCAACCTTCGTCACTGCCTAAACCGGCGGCTCGCCTGCGCTGACTGGTGCGGTGAGGCGTGGTCAGGATAACCCCCGTGACTGACACGCCATGGGGGGAAGCCTCAATCCAGCAGTGGATTGGCAAACGGCTGTAGGGTATTCTTCGTAACAATCTGTTGTATAACAGCCAGAGTCTCCCTGTCAAAACCAGTGTGGGGCACGCTCATGATTAAATAATGGTATTAGCCAGTCTCTCCATATGCAAACGAACGTTCACTTTCCACAGAGTGGTATGTATTTTATCAGCCCCTGTTTGTAATTTGGTTTATTCCGGCTCTGGAACGCACGGCATGGGGGGAGGCCATCATCCGGCAGTCGGTTGACTGACCGTGTTCTGTGCGGACGCGCGCACGCGTGTTTGTGTGTGCGTGCCTTGGCCAGGTGTCGGGCGGTCGAAACATCAACAAGAACCTCCTGCACGTGGCGACGAGCATCATCGAGCATGGGCGCACGCTGCGCCTGCAGTCGCTCAACCAGTACCGCCACCGCTTCAACATGCGACCCTTCACCTCCTTCCTGGAGCTCACAGGTGCTGCCCTCGCCCATCCCACAACACTGACCCCAACCTTGACTCCAACTTCCACCCTGACCCCAAATCCTGACGACCCTAACCCCGAGCCTGACCTAACCCCATCCCTGACCCCCAACCTGACCCCAACCCCGACTCTGACCCAGACACCGACCCTGAGGCCAACTTTAACCCCCGACCTCAACGCTGACCCCCAACTCCGACCCTGACTCCCAACCCTGACCCCGATCCTGACTCTGAGGCCAAACCTGACCCCAACCCTGACCCCAACCCTGACCCCAACCCTGACCCCAAGCCCTACGACTCCCTTCCCATACTGACCACGGCACTCCCCTCGACACTCGCACCGCCGCTCTCCGCTGAGCTGCCGGCCCACCGGAGGCAGTGATAATTGCCGCGTTGTGGAACAATGCGAGGGTGGTGCCTCCTCTTCCTGCCGACACCAAACGGAGCCGAGAGCCGCGCTGTCATCCCTCTCCCAACGGAGACAACGCACCCGGCGTGCCGGCTCCAATCCATCCCTCGCTCCCTCTCTCTCGCCCTCTCACGCTCTCTCACGCCCTTTCTCACTCTCTCACGCTCTCTCATGCTCTCTCACGCTCTCTCTCACTCTCTCACGCTCTTTCACGCTCTCTCTCGCTCTCTCTCGCTCTCTCACGCTCTCTCACGCTCTCTCTCACTCTCTCACGCTCTCTCTCGCTCTCTCTCGCTCTCTCACGCTCTCTCTCTCGCTCTCTCACGCTCTCTCTCGCTCTCTCTCTCTCGCTCTCTCACGCTCTCTCTCGCTCTCTCTCGCTCTCTCTCGCTCTCTCTCGCTCTCTCTAGCTCTCTCACGCTCTCTTAGGGGTGGGGGGGGGCGGTGAATGGAACCTCATGGCGCACAATTTGGCTATGTGGATATTCGATTTGGCTATTTGGATATTCGACACAATTACCTCGCTCGTTCATCTCTCCGGTAGTCCGTAGAGGGATGGCAGTGAAACTTGGCATTCATGTCGTGCAACCCCCCACAACATCAACGAAACGTCTCGGGTTTTCTTTTAGCCTAATGGCAGCTTATCACCATCACAATTGGGCGGTGCCACCGGCGGCCCCGGTGGTCGTGGCGCATTCGCCGCTTATCGCGGAGGGTTCGAATCCGGTAGGCCGCGCTGGTTATCACTGCGGGTGCAATAACCGTTAATAACATCGCACGACGTTTCCTTCACAGTGGACGTTAGGGATCCCGTGACGTCCATTCGCAAGGCTAGAGCCACCGTGTGCCACCGGCGTCGTGGTCCAAATTAGCCGAAGTCTAAAATGACACCGCTAAAATGACTCAATCAGGACTATACTCACAGCGACCATCATGTATGTACCTACGTTGAACTTCTTTCGCACCGTACGCAGCCAACCGTGCTAACCGTGGGCCCTACTGGCAGCAGACTGATGCCCCCAGGTCACTGTTGAAAAACGAGGCTCCTCTATCCGGCTCGTCCCAACAAAATCACCCTGATGAACCTTGACGCCGCCCTCCTCCCCTCCCATCCCCCGTCCGGTCGTACGCCGGCAGGCGACGAGGCGATGGCAGCCGAGATGGAGGAGCTGTACGGCGACGTGGACGCCGTGGAGTTCTACGTGGGCCTCCTGGCCGAGAAGGCGCGCCAGGGCTCCATGTTCGGCGAGAGCATGGTGGAGATTGGGGCGCCGTTCTCGCTCAAGGGTCTCATGAGTAACCCCGTGTGCTCGCCGCTCTACTGGAAGCCGAGCACCTTCGGCGGCGACGTGGGCTTCGAGATCATCAACACGGCGTCGCTGCGCAAGCTCGTGTGCCAGAACACCGTGGGGCCGTGCCCCCGCATCTCCTTCGCCGTGGCCGAGACCGAGCCGGGGCACCGGTGCGGCGAGGGGGTTCACTGTGAGCTGTGATGACGGAGCGTCGTGTGTCGTGTCGTGTGTCCGTGTGTGTGTGTGTGTGTCCGTGTGTGTGTGTGTCCGTGTGTGTGTCGAGTCGGTCGTGTGTCATGCGGGTGTGTCGTGTGTCATGCGTGTGTGTCGTGTGTCATGTGTGTGTCGTGTGTACGTCAGGCAAACGGCAGTGTAGAGGTTAGAGCGTGGAGCTACAAACCCGGTGGCGCAAGTTCAAACGATATCATAACTGATCCCGGTCCTCCCCTAGGTTGACTCAGCCTTAAATGAGTACCTGGTGCTCAAAGGTTCCCAGAGATGGTGCTGGCCCCACCACCCCTTTGTGTGTTCTACTGAGGTCTCATCGACTCACATAGACACCCACTCACAGACATATATAGAGACCCACACACTCGCATAGACACTCACAGACCTATATAGAGACCCACACACTCACATAGACACCCACTCACAGACATATATAGAGAACCACACACTCGCATAGACACCCACTCACAGACATATATAGAGACCCACACACTCGCATAGACACTCACAGACCTATATAGAGACCCACACACTCACATAGACACCCACTCACAGACATATATAGAGAACCACACACTCGCATAGACACCCACTCACAGACATATATAGAGACCCACACACTCGCATAGACACTCACAGACCTATATAGAGACCCACACACATAGACACCCACTCACAGACATATATAGAGAACCACACACTCGCATAGACACCCACTCACAGACATATATAGAGACCCACACACTCGCATAGACACTCACAGACCTATATAGAGACCCACACACTCGCATAGACACCCACTCACAGTCATATATAGAGACCCACACACTCGCATAGACACTCACAGACCTATATAGAGACCCACACACTCGCATAGAGACCCACACGCTCGCATAGAGACACACACACTCGCATAGACACCCACTCACTGACATATATAGAGACCCACAAACTCGCATAGACACCCACTCACTGACATATATAGAGACCCACACACTCGCATAGAGACCCACACGCTCGCATAGAGACACACACACTCGCATAAAGACCTACACACTCGCATAGACACCCACTCACAGACATATATAGAGACCCACACACTCGCATAGACACCCACTCACTGACATATATAGAGACCCACACACTCGCATAGAGACCCACACACTCGCATAGAGACCCACACACTCGCATAAAGACCCACACACTCGCATAGACACCCACTCACAGACATATATAGAGACCCACACACTCGCATAGAGACCCACACACTCGCATAGAGACCCATACGCTCGCATAGAGACCCATACGCTTGCATAGAGACCCACACGCTCGCATAGAGACCCACACGCTCGCATAGAGACCCATACGCTCGCATAGAGACACACACACTCGCATAGAGACCCATACGCTTGCATAGAGACCCACACGCTCGCATAGAGACCCACACGCTCGCATAGACCCATACGCTCGCATAGAGACACACACGCTCGCATAGAGACCCATACGCTCGCATAGAGACCCACACGCTTGCATAGAGACCCACACGCTCGCATAGAGACCCACACGCTCGCATAGAGACCCACACTCAGAAATGGCCTTGTGGTAGCCCAATACTGGTGCAGCAATATCATCACCCATTGGCTTTGTGTTCCAATTCCCAAAGCTGCGCCTACCGCACGCTGCACCTACCGCACACTCCGCGTACCACACTCTGCACTTACCACGCACTCCGCGTACCACACGCATCGCCATCTCGCTTCGAGGATATTTACTGCACACTCCTGATTTGTCCCTTCCAACCAGCACTGGCCCAGTGTCATTACAGCACTGTTATGATAATGAATTCTGAAGTGGGGGTTTTTTCGAGACCTTTGTTTATTGAACGTGGACGCTGTACGCCGACCGTGGGAATCCGCCGTAGAAAACTGGAATGCCCTTGCCGTGCCACACCGTGTTGCTCGATTTCGCCGTAATTTCCAGAGCGAAAAAGAAAACCGCTTGGGAGGCATCGCGCCGAACGGTCCCGCACAACGTTCAGGTTTCGTAGCCCGAGGGCCTTAAATTATTTTTATCCGACGGCGGTTGCGCAATGCGCAGGGAGCTGATCAGCGGCCGATTGTGCATCGTGTCGCGCGCGAGCGAGCTGTGAATGCGACGACGCGACGAGAGCGCGGTAATAATAACTTATTGGCGCCGCGTGTTCACAAACGATTATTTAAGCGTTTCCGTCATCGTACATCGCAAAGGGCTGCGGGTGCAGCTCGCGCGACGCTGCAGTGGCGACTCACCCCTGTTGTTAATCGGTGGCCTGCCCAAGCAGCCCACCGCTCTGCGTATTCGGCGAACATCCGGCAGGACTCGAGGTCACGAACCACGCCGGGCGTATTCTCTCTTCCCTCGACCTGCCGCGCGGAAGGCAGCTCGTTTGTGGCGGTGATTGGTCCCCGCCCGCGAGATGCACTGGGTGACGGACGCACGCGCGTGAACGAGCGTCCTGACGGACGGACAAACGGACGGAAGGACAGACAACTGGCCAAAGAGGTGGGAGTGATGGACAGATGGATGGACGGAGAGACGGTGGGCCAGATAGGACAGACGTAGACACATATGGACAAAGAGATGCTGCCTCTATCATAGGGTGATATAATAATAATAATGATGAGGGCATTATGCATGGACGAGCTGGATTTTAAATCGAAACACGTGGGGGGAGGGGGGGGGGAAGAGTTCAGAATGCTGGAATGGATTTAAATTACATGCGAATTACATACGACGCTTTTGTATTTATTTGATGTGTGTAAATAAAGTTGGGATGTTGACACCTGCCTGCGAACGTCGCCGTTGTCTACTTGAGTAGAACGCGCAAGCCGCTCGCCGCGTACACGTGCAAACGTGTGCACGTGCAAACGCGTGCAAACGTGTGCACGTGCAAAAGCGTGCAAACGCGTGTGCACGTGCAAACGTACGAACGTGTGCACGTGCGTCGATGGGGAGCGGTGGTGTAGTAAAAAATAAATGTGAGTGTCCGGTGGCAGGAAACGCTCACGCAGGAAAATGTCACGTGTGCACGAGCCAATGTATATCTATCGTGGGCAGTAATTTAAACTGAACCATTTTTTCGTGTTTACCAGCTGAAGGCCCACCGAGCTTATTGGAGCTCTTTTTCAGAAGCGACCTGGCCACAAATGATAGCTCAACGAAGTGGCTTATCAATGTGGAAATGTGTAGCGGCCACACACTCTAAACCAGTGTTTGATTCTAGAGGGGGGGGGGGGAACCGGAGGGCCCGGAGAAAATCCACGCGACCACGGGGAGAAGACGCAGAGTCCAATTATGCAGCGGGCAACAGGGTCGGGATCGAACCCACGAACTCCTGTGTACCAGGCGAGGTAGTTAACATCCCGTTGCCACCGTACTCGTTAACGCCCACGGTCTCTGACACCAGTGACGATTATCTGAACCGGTCCCGGGCCTCCCACTAAGTGGCTCAGCCTCAAACATTGCCACCGGGGAGACAAAGGCGGTGGGGCGTGGGCGCTGGCCACCCACCCCCTCGTGTGTCATGCGCGGCCTTCATAGAGGTGCTACTCGCGAACAGCACTTGCCACGACAGTCTGTTAAGGTTAGAGGGGAGATGGTTTTTGCCGTTGTGTGCGTAGACACGCAACCGGCATCTTGCGTCCTTGAGAACACAGCGGCATTCTGCGGTGAGGCGACGCACGCGGCTCTACTTTTTGGCAGATTGGCAGGGCGCAAATAGAAGTGCCCTCAGCACTGCCATTTGTGCAGCGTGACGAATATTCATCATTACGATCAGATGGGCATCTGCTTCACTCACCAAAAATAACACGAGATGGAAAAGGAGCCCACGCGTACCGTTTCTACGTAACGTACGACGTCGTTCAAACAGTTTAACACGAAGGAGGCTTTCGCGACCAATATCCATAATGCAGGGGTTTTTTTTGGAGTTAGATCGCGTAAATATATAAATGTGTCGTTAAAACCCGCTACTATCCGACACGGGTTGTCACGTAAACAGAACGTGGCCAATTCGTCACTAGCACAGCACACCGGTGTGTTGAAGAGCCAAGCCACAACATTTACAATCCGTGCTGTCCTCGTGACGAATTGGCATGTTCTGTTTACGTGACAACCCTTACTAATTGGATTTTTATTTTTACCATCTCCCCACCGTTTGGTCGCGTAACAAAATTGAGAAGTCACTGGCGCCAAGACCGTGATGAAGAGTGAATGAGTAATGATGGATAGTGCAGTGGGTGAACACTCGTGCCACTGGCAGCAAGAAGCACCCCTGAGTTCGACTCTTGACCCGGGCGTTTGTACGCTCTCCTCCCTGCCTTGCGTGGGTTTACTCCGGGCTCTCCGGCTTGCACCCATCGCTGACCGCGCGCAATTAGGCACTGGCCAAACATTCAAATGGCAGGAGGACCCTCTTGAAAAACAAAAGAATTCATTATTCAGTGCGGGGTTATCCGGGGGTCAATAGGGCGATTCGAGATCAATCTTGCGTTTCACCAGGTGAGACGTCGGGTGTGTACGCGGTAGATCATTGGCGTATGTCACGGATAGACCACAGGCCTGCAAACTGACACCGCCACCACGCGCGATCTTGGGGCGAGTTCGAAATGGCTTTGGCGATGTTGCCCCAATTCGCCCGTGGGGTTCCCGTGGGACTCTGCCGTAGCGCGGCGTTCGGGGCAGGGCGGGTCCTGTGCGAGGTGGGGGGGAGTGGAGGGGAGGCGCATCTCCTGATACGATCGCATTCTTAAAAAATCGTCCTCGGCGCAAGTGGGGGAGGGGGGGGGGTGTTTTGCCCCAGGCGATGAAGGCCACAGATAGGCGGTTACTTCCCCAACACGGTAACTCGAGGCTCGACTGAAACAACACAACTAAAACTTGTTGCTTTCAAGTGTGGACTGTACCGTGGTACACGCGAGCAGCTGAGAGTCGCGATGCACGTCGCAAGCGAATGATGAGTCGTAAGTTCAACCGGCGAACATGAAGAACCAGCGGCGTCTACATCTACATGAGATTATGCTACTTTTAAAGCCATTCCCCGTGATTGGTGTACAAGCCGTGAAACACGTTTGGAATCGACAGGAGTTAAGTAGAACTTATGAACAAATCGACTTACGAACAGACCTCTGGAACCGAACTCGTTCTTAAGTAGAGGAGTCCCTGTAGATATTAAATATTGTAGCAACAAAACATCACAGCTGTCAACCCATACCGTTCACCCGTATTCTTGCACAAGGAAATTGAGTTTTCAGGTCCATACGGCGTGCAGCCGTTTCAATAGGGCTAAAACAAAGTGTCTATTTGTTTGTGTTTCTCCCTTGTGATGGGACTTTGTAAGATGAACGTTGAGATTTATAAGGGCACGGGATG